AACACTAGATGGCATCTCAGCACTATACTTGGGAGCCGTGTTATACAGCCAGATAGCCAACAGAAAACAAAAAACAAACACAAAAGGGGCCCTAATAGACCACAAAATGGACATTAATTTACAGTTGTTTTGAGTACAAAGCTGAAAATGAGACATAACACTGGTTTCTGTGTTCCATCTTGGCAGGGAATATTCAAATGTTTCATGAATGCACCATGAGTATTGTTTTGGGAGTCACAAATAAATCTTAGTGAGTAAGTGAATCCACATATTTGGAGTCCCCAAAGAATGAAGCAACTTACATGTTTTGACCTTGGCCTATCTTTAACTTGGCCATCTGAAACTCACCGATTTCAACTTTACAATGGGAATACCTCATGCCTAATAAAAACAGAGTAAAGGATAAATCAGATAAGTACACTTGCACAAGTAAGTGAGTAACATGTAACAAAGGAACAGAACACAAAATATCCTCACCTGTTCCCAGGCACTGAACAGTTGCACTACTCAGCTTTCTTCCGAGTCTTCACACCCATGATCTGCTTCCAAAGTGGTTATTGTTGGACATTAAGCAACTGGTGATAGGAAAGCTAAGTTATAGTTAAAATACTCTACTTCTCAGTTAAGATACTCTAGGGTCCTGCTTCCTGAGATGCTCTGGAATTCTAACAATATCTCTATAAATCATTCTCTGATTTTCCCAACCCTGGTCTTCTTTGTGTGTGTGATTGAGTGATTATATTATGTTTCAACCCAGATTTAAATATCTCCATATCAGAGGATGAATCGATCTTTGTGGAGGCATGGGCTGTGCAACCTGGAGAAATGAACCCTTCTGGTAAGTTGCTTGGGGGAATGTGAACCAAGTGATATACACAGAGTATGTGATACGGGGCTCAGTCAGAGGAGCAGGTGGGATAGGTTAAGCACCTTCCCCCAAAATGTTTTGAAATCTTTCAATGTTACCTTATTTGGAGATAGGATCTTTAGAAAGGTAATCAAGTTAAAATGAGGTCATTTGTGTAGGCCCTAATCCAAGATGACTGGGGTCTTTATGAAAAAGAGAAATGTGAAGATGAAGGCAGAGGTGGGGTGACACATCATCTACGGGCCAGGGAACACCAACAACTGCCAGTGAGCCACCAGGACTAGGGGAGAAGCATGGAACAGATTCTCCATCTCAGCTCTCACACAGAACCAACCTGCTGGCATCTTGATCAGGACCTGAATCCTCCAGAACTGTGAAACAATAAATTTCTGTTGTTTCAAGCCACTCTGTTTGTGGTGCTTTGTTACAGTAGCTCTAGCAAATGAATACACCAGAATCGGGTTATACAACATATAAGGACTAACCAAGCAAGTACACCTAGAGGGCAGGCAATCAAAAAGGGAAAATCACAGGAGAACTGGCTTCCATAGTCATGGGCTGAAAGTGTTCTCCATGGGCACAATTCCTTCTCTCTTTTAAGGAACTTCAGCCCTGCTTTTTTTTTTA